AGAAAACCTAAAGGAGAGAAAGAGAGAGAGGGAGAGAGAGAGAGAGGATCTTGTGAGGGGGAGCTTGTGAGGGGATTCACAAGGGTTGCTATAAGCATTGTTTCACTTCTTCTTCCCTAGAGTATCTTGTCCTTGGAAGGGTTGGGAGAGGTAAGTTTCAGCAAGTGATCAAGGTTCTCTGCCTGCTTCAGGAGGAAGGTTCTCTGCCTTGCCGGGTGTGGCAAAAAGAGGTGTTTGTAAAGGCTTCTCCGCCTAGCTGTGGGGGCTAAAGGAGAGTCACATTTGTAGTGCAATACTCGGAGGGCGCCTCTGGGGAGTGGATGTGGGTCGAGTTGACCGAACCACTATAAACCCTTGTGTTCTTATTTTTTACTGCCTCCGCATTTATTTTCTTCTGCACTTATTTTTGTGGTGATTTGGTTTGCATTCGTGCTTTGCTTAAAGAAATTTTTTAAATACCAATTCACCCCCCCCCCCCTCTTGGTTAGCCTTGGGCCAGTTCCATAGGGCTTAACATCCCTAACAAACTTTCACCGTGTTCTTTGAAAACATCTTTTTTTTGAAATTTTCTAATGTTATTAGCACCAAATTTCCTTCTACTATGATTCACATGTATCCACGGCCCATAAGCGGTTTTATCATTAACTTCATTAATTGGCTCTCTATAGACGCTCTGCCCACCTTATTATCATTCACAGCCATAGCATTTGGATCAAAAGTAGTCTTCAGCTCACATTCATTACTTAGATGTCCAACCCTTCCATAATTATAACAAAATGTGGAAATCTTCTCATATTCTAGTTTTTGAAAAAACCGACCATCTTTTCTCTCCACCCAAACACCAAAAGGAAGATGCTTATCTAGATCAATCTGAACACAAACCCTTGTAACTCTCTTTTCCCCCACTAAAACATATTCCCATCTAATAACAAAGGTGTTCCCAACCTAGTAGCAATTCCTGAAATTTTTATCTCATCCCAATAATGGAGAGAAAAATACAGCTTCCTCACCCATATTGGAGATGTCAACACTTTTAAAGAAGTGGTTGAAAAATCAACATTCCATTTGTAAATCCCCATTATATGTCCTTTCATGAACCACGGTCCTCCTGATAAAACATTATTCATAGCTTCAAGTGAAAAGAAAGAACATAAAACCCATCCTAACCCAAGAATAGTTAGGTGGAATTTTCCAAATTGCATCCACTGTCTGCGTAATTCACTTGCAATTACTTGAACTAGAATATTATTCCCAAAACCTTCACAACTAATGAAAGATGCAACTTCTCAGAATTCACTTTAATGTTAGGTTGAAACAATTTAACCACTACACCATCCTCATTCATAATTGATGAATCCTTTGAAAAGTTAATTTTAATGTTCGGTGGCCTATTCCATGGATTTGTTGAAACAACTTCCTCCCTTCCTTTTCTAATTTCATTAACCTCTTCTTGAACAAAACCCCAAACATTTAATGCATCCTTCACAACACATGGGTTCTTTGTTTTACCCGTATCATTCATAATACCAAATCTCCTTACAAGAATATTCACGTTTGAAGAGGAAGCCACTTCACAAATATTTGGTCTCTTCAATAAAGAAAAATCATAGTTTGAAATAGGAGTCTTGAACATACCTCCATCATCAACAAGTTTGCCTTTACCAATCACAGGAGAACAAATATTTAGAGCATCAACCTTCAGTTCTTTAAAGATCAGAGGACCTTCTTTAATAATCTGTTGAGCAGGGAATGAATCACAATTACGAGTGACCTAAGGATGAAGATCCTCGCAACTCTGATGACCGGAATAGGTAGCCGGAGGGCCTCTCGCCATGAGCAGAAGACCCGCCAACACTAGCGAGAAGAAATAAAATTAAAAAAACATATATAGATTCTCTCTCTAAAATCATAAGACTTGGGTTCATATTTACAACAATCTCTCCCTTTTTTATGATTACAAATAATATTGGAGAATTTTTTTTTATTTTAAAATGAAAAACACCACACAACACTAGAACATATAAAATTAACATACAAATTTGGAATTAAATATTTCAAAGTAAAATACAAGTTGCCAACATATGCTACTTCCCTTTTTGATGTCATAAAAGAGGAGAAAAAATTAAAAAACAAATAATAAACTAAAAAACTAGTAAAAGTAAAATGATCACAAAAAATAAAATATTTTAAAGAATTGATCAATTTTATCTCATGATTTTTCAAAAACTCAATAAGAAATATATTGACAACACTAAGATCTAAAAGGGTTAAAAATTTGATTTTTTTTAACCATAGCTTAGGCTCCATATAGGTTAAAGTCATTTTTTAAACAAAAAAATCTAATTTAAAAAATAAATTCGAAAGAAAATGTGATCTTTTCAAACTTCGTTTTAGAAATGTATCTAAGATAAAAACATTTCAAAGTGAGGAACCAAAAATCATAATTTTTAAATTAAGTTGTAGACGATATCAATTGGCATATGAATTTTTTTAGGATTTAAAGATTGAAAGAAAGGGAAGCTAACTCATTGTGGGCTCATTTTGTGCTTCTTTTATCAAATTTTGATGCACTTTGAGCATCTTTCAATTTTTGATACAATTTTTGCATCTTCTAATTTTGATGTACATTGCATATTATTTTAGCTTGCGGCTCATTTTGTGCCTGTTTTCTTTTTACAAACTTACTTCCTTTCTACAACTTTAAAGACACTCAGTTATGAGATTATATTTCACATGTGAGAGAAGAAGAACTCACTCTCTTATGGAAGAGTAAACCAGAAAGTAAAATCTGATCCATACGATGTAGACAAACAACTTGATTAAGAAAATTTGAAGGAGATTCATATACTTATAAAAATATTTGTATGAAATAGAAAATAATAGGAAGATTAAATAGACCTCTATTTCAAGATAAAAATTTTAATTTAAAATAGATTTTGATTTAAAAGGAAATTACACCACTAAAAAGAGTTAGAGGAAGATGGATAATCTTCAAATTTTCTTCCATTAACTATTTTAGAGGAGTCAATCATTGCTTACAAAAATAGCAAAGATTTTCATTTAAAGAAAGGATCAACTACTAAAGTGAATAGTGATCAAATCTTTATGTTTTAAAAAAATAAAAAGACACTTGTATAAAGAAAAATAGAAAACACTTAAAAGATAAAAACATGAAATAGAAACAATAATTAAATTTCAGATTTTCAAAGAATCCATTTTCATACATGAATATCTATGACACTTAATATGGTTCTTAAGGTACTGAAGGTTTCAAAAGCTAGTGATTTTGTAAAGATATCTACAAGCTAATTTTCAGTCTGTACATGATGTAGCTCTGTCTCCTTTGGTGACATGGTCCCAAATATAATGGTGTCTTATGTCTCTGTGTTTGGTCCTAAAATGTTTGATTGGATTTTTTAAAAAATATATAGTACTAGTATTATCACATAAGATTTGGATGGTTCATACAGGTAGTTATAAATCCAAAATTTGTTTCTTTAAATGAAGGGCCTATGCAAAAAAACTTCCTAAGGCTATATATTCAGCTTCTATTATGGACAAAGTTATTGAGATCTATTTTTTACTGGACTAGGAGACTAAAGTCCTATGCATTAACATGTTCCAGAAGTGCTTTTCATATCAACCCTACATCCTATAAAAGTCTGAATCAGAATATTCTATAATTTCAAAGGAAGTGTTATGCCTAGGATACTATATTCTCAAGTTTTGGGTTTCTAAGAGATATCTAAGGATTCTCTTAATAATAGTCAACTTGGATTCCTTTTTATCAACCTGAAATCGAGCACAGAGATAAATACTAAATATAATATCATGTCTGCTATTTGTTAACTAAATAAGTGATATAATTATTCCTATGTATTTCTTCTGATTAATTGACTTTCCACTTGAGTCCTTATCATAATTGTAGAACTCATGGGAGTATTAATTGCCTTGTCTTTGTCTATTTCATATTTTTCAAGAATGTCCTTAATGGGGTTTTCTGAAGAGCTAAAAGGTGAGGTCAGTGTAGTCGATCGGTTCTAGAGAGAGAAGCTCCAAATTTTTTTCTAGAGAGAGAAGTTCTAATTTTCTTAATTCTTGTGTTCGTGGGCTAAGCGCGGGCAGAAGATCCTGCTGCTGGAAGTTTGTGCTGCCGGCTGATCGCCAGTCTTATGATTGGCGGTTTCTCTTTGTTTTGGATCATGATGAACTTTCGTTTGGCAGGTACCAACCGTGGTATTGGTAAGGTTGGAGGTTGAATTGTTATCAGGGAAGGTGTGAGGCCGCTGGTTCGTCAAGAGGTGATTGATGGTAAAGGAAAGCAGGTTGCAGTTGATCAGGAATCTGAGGATATCAATGTTTCTGTGAAGGGAAAATTGTTCTTGACAATATTTCAGATGTGTCTACATCGACGAGCCCGATTATGAAAGCTAATAAGTTTGTGTTTAATCATGAAGAACAAGTTGGACGGGATTTGATTTCTGAGATTGACAATTATGCAAAGGAAGTGGTTGATGATTTTTCTCTAAATAACTTGAGTTTGGACAAGAATCTGGATTCCTCTGTTTCGCAGGATTCTGATTTGAATGTTATAAAGGGAAATTTTAAAGAAGCCTGGAAAAGGATGCAACATATCAAGATCTCTAATGACAAGGTTATATCAGAGATGTCTAAAGATGGTTTGGTGGTAAACCTCAATGCTGAGAAGGAAATGTTAAATTCGGAGGTTCTGAAACACTCTCTGGTTGTTAAGTTATTAGGAGATAAAGTTTCCTTTCCTCTGTGCAGCTTGGAGTTGAGGAAGCAGTGGAGTAAGTTCAGAAGTTTTCATATGACTTCTATTGGGTTAAATTGTATCTTATGCTCGTTTAAATCAGTGGAAGTAATGGAAGAAGTTCAGAATGGTGGCCCTTAGTTCGTGGGAGGCCATATTGTCGGGATGGATAAATGGTCTCCATTTTTCAATCCTAATTCCGTCAGAGGAATTACTGCACCGGTTTGGGTTCGGTTTCCTTGCTTACCATTGTATTGTTGGGACAAGGAAAACTTCATTAAGATTGCATCGAGAATTGGAGCTCCTATTCTGTTGGATGGTAATTCATTTAAATGGGGGAAGCGGGAATTTTCCCGGGTATGTATCAGACTGAATTTGGAAAATAGTCTCCTAAATGGTGTGTGGGTTGATGGGATTGCTAGTCATTTCTTCCAAGGAATTGAATACGAGAAGATTGATTTAATATTCTACCAGTGTGGGAAGGTGGGGCATGAGAGCAAGCTATGCCCTGAAAGTGTGAAGAAAGTCTCGGTGGAGCAACCGGTTAAGAAAGCTGATGCTAAGAAGAATGTGGATGGGAAGGTTGACAGGGAAGGTGCTGAGGAAACTAATGAGAACTATGGGCCGTGGATACACGTTAAGTTTAAAATAGGAGGTTTTGGAATGGTAAGGTAAGGGCTGTTGATAATCCTGGAAGTAATAATGCTGGAACTGAGGTTTTGGCTCATGTATCTCAGTCTGATGCTGGACAAAATCAGAAGATGGAAAAATTGATGGAGCTTGAATTTCAAGGGATCTGACTGATATGGCTATTGTAAATAATGTTAGTAAAGAAGTTTGTGATATTGAGTGTGTTGGGGGGGTTTATGTTTCAAACAAATTTGATGCTCTGTTTAATGAAATTGAAGAAGGGGAAGAGATGGATCATTCTTGTATGGATCAGCAATAGAAGTTGGCTGATGGTGTTGAGATGCCAAAGGATGTGGAAATAGTAATTCCTCGGAATAACAGTCTGATGAAGGTTAAACTAGCTAAGGAATTGAAATCATTGGGCCACTTGGAGCCAGAGCATAGGAAAAGAGGAAGGAGACTAAAGGAAGTTTTCCAGGTGGGGATGGCTCCATGATGGTAAATAGATGAATTCGTTACTTTTCTAGAATTGCAGGGGAGCCAGGAAAAAAGAGGCTTCTTTGTATCTCAATGAGATAGTTAGAGATCATGGTGTTTGTTTTGTTGGATTGATGGAGACCAAGTTATCTAGTATTGATAGAATTGAAGTTGATTTTCTTATTGGGAAGGATTGGGATTACTTTCATTTCCCAGCTATGGGCACTGCGGGTGGCATTTTAGTGTTGTGGAATACGAAGATTGTTTCTTTTGCTGTTGAAAGAAGTGCTTCTCAACTGGTGATTCGATCTCTTCAAACACCTTCTTTGGGTGTGTGGAAGGTGGCAACTATATATGGCAGTAGATGCAATAATGAGAGAAGGAGCCTTTGGAGCATGCTTGAGACTAGTTTGAAGGATTCGGGTCCTTCTAAAGTTGTAGAGGACATTGAGAGCATTATTTTTCTGTAATAAGAATAAATACCGTGATTTATACAAACTTAAGGAGGAACTAAAAAGTGAAATCATGGAATTACAAATTAAGGAGGCTGCGGGTTCTGGGCTTGCTAGTGATGATTTGCTTATGCTTAGAAGGAAGATTCATGAGTTGAATATAACTATTAGAAGACTCTCTACTTGGTGGAACTAAAGAGCTAAGGCTAGATGGTATGTGGAAGGTGACTCCAACACAAGGTTGTTTCATAATTTTACTTCAGCACGTAGGAATGCTAATTGGATTCGGCAAATTAAGGATGTTAATAGCATTCTTGTGGACGAGGATGATCAAATTGAACAAGTTTTCTTATAGTTCTTTGAGAAGAAGTGGGAGTATAGGGATTGTGAATTATCTGGTTGGTCGTTGCCTTCAGAAAAATAGAAGTTGAATGAATGTGGTGCTGCATTGCTAGGTGCAGATTTTACTATGGAAGAATGCTAGAGATCAGTTTTTCAGCAAGGGAATAATAAGTCTCCCGGAATTGATGGGGTGACTGCCTCCTTTTTTAAATGTTACTGGGATATAGTAGGTGAAACTACTTGGAGTGCAATTATGAAATTTCTTATTGGTGGAGAGATGCATAAAGATTGGAAAGCCACACTTATTTTCTTAATTCCTAAGATTAAAAACCCACTGGTGCCATCTAGCTTCAGACCCATCAGCTTGTGTCAAAGTACGTATAAAATTGTGACCACAATGTTGGTAAACAGGTTGAAAAATTTCTTACCCAATACGATCTCCGAGGAACAAGTAGCCTTCATTCCGGGAAGGTCAATGTCAGAGCTTTGCTTATTGGCGCAGGAAATTTTCAATAAATTCAAAGTTCCTAAAAATAAATAAGGAATGATGGTGGTGAAACTTGATATGGAGCAGCCATTTGATAGTATGGGGTGGCCAACTTTGAATCAAATTCTCCAATGGTATGGTTTTCCTGTTTCCTTTTCGAAGCTTCTAATGGAGTGTGTGGTAAATGCTAGATTTGCTATTGTTATAAATGGAAAGTGTACCAGATGGATTGATGCTCATTATGGATTTAGGCAAGGTTGCCCTCTCTCCCCGTATTTATTCATAATGTGATCCTAATTGTTGTCTAGTGTTATTGAACAAAGAGGTCAGACATTGGGCATTCAAGTGTCTTCAAGAGGTCGATGTATCTTACACCTTTTGTATGCAGATGACGTACTGTTATTCTTCAGGGTTTCAGCTCCCACAGCTTGGTTGATCAATTGCATTGTGAAGGATTTTTGTAGCTGGACAGGGCAAAGAGTTAATATTAACAAATCACAAATTATGTTTGGGAAGTTTGTTAATAGATCTTGCAGGAACAAGGTGTTAAGAATCCTTGGCTTCAAGGTGAATAAGGAATTACACTATTTAGGAATTAAGATCTCTCTTTAACGGTTTGGTAGTTGCTAATTTTCATGATTTATTAAGCTATGTTACTGATAGGCTTAATGTGTGGGGGAAGAAATCCTTTTAGTTGGGAGGAAAGATTACTCTTATAAAAACCTCTTTGATGTCTTTGCCGAGCTTTGCTATAACTCATTCTCTTGTTCCTAAGAGGGTGATTCAGGAGGTGGAGAAATTGTGTAGGAAGTTTCTTTGGCATAAGCAAGATGGGAAGTATGGATTACATTACATTTCATTGGATGAAATTGGTAATCCACGAAATGTTGGTGGTCTGGTTGTGCGGTCATTCACAAACAAATCTAGAGCTCTACGGGCTAGATTAACCTGGAACTTTATCCAGAAACCTGAGACTCTTCTGCACCGAACGATTTTGGCCAAATTTGGTAATAATGTGTTGAATGACAACTGCATAAAATGCTCCTCTAATGTTTGGAAAATTTTAAAGGATGGAGGGAAATTTTTAAAGCCTATTGTTAGATGGAAGGTGGGAAGAGGAGATCAAATTCAGGTTCATAGTGATGTTTGGTTGCTGGATAGATGCTTAAATGAGTGGCCTACTTTTATTGATTGCAGTGCTTTGGAGAATTTGAAAGTTCAGCAGCTTATTTCAGATACAGGACAACGGGATGAAGGTAAACTGCTCAATTGGTTCCATGAAGATCTAGCAAGTCTTATCAAGAATGTGAAACCAGATGTCTAGCGGGAAGATCGATTGGAGACAGTATGTAAGTTCTCGGGTAAATCTATTTCTGCTTTGGCTTATGACAATGCTATGAAAGACAAAGGAATTAATGATGTTGATGGTTTTTATAGTTGGCTTAAGAGTTTAAAGCAAAACTATAATGTGGAATTTTTTGGTGGAGGCTTAGGAAATTTGCTATTCCTACAAACCACTTTTTAAAATTCCGAAGACTAGCAACTGATGATTATTGTGCTAGAGGATGTCTGGAAATGAAAAATTATGAGCATATTATTGTTCAGTGTAAATATCTTCAAGAGGTGATTAATAAAATTCATGAATGAGCGTTTTGTATTCCTTCATTTTGATCTTTGGAGGGCTGTTTTGAAGAGCTGAAAAGGATTTCTAGTCAGAATTCTGGTATGGTAAGAGTTTACTGTGTTGCTGTGTTTTTAAACTGGATAAACCCCAATTCAGTGCAGTATGGTAAGGCAGCTTTGCCGAGTTCCTCAGTGGCTACAAATGTGCTCTCTCTAGCTACCTTGAAGTCTTCTCCTTATCTAGTTAGTTGGGGTGCTAATCTCCCAAGGGAGTTATTTTCTACTTGGTGCCCTCCACCACTAGATTGGATCAAGATAAATGTGGATGCATCTTTGTTGAGCTTAAATAGAGGTGGAATTGGTGGAATCGGTGGTATCTTTAGAGACCATAAAGGTAGACTTCTTCTTGTTTTTGGGAGGAATAAGATTCATTGGGATATTGCCCAACTGGAGATGGAGGTTATTGTGGACATTAGAGATCTTATACAAAGTTGGATGCTTGAGAGCAAAGGTATTAACATTGAAAGTGATAATACTAATGTGATTACATTCTTACAAGATTCTTTGAAGAAAGTTGATTGAGAATTGGATAAGTGGCTGGTCAAGGACCTTTTCTTCTTGAAGGACTTTAATAAGGTTGTTTTTCATCATGTTAATAGGAATTATAATAAAGTAGCTGATTTTTGTGCTACTCTAGCTATTGATGGTAGTTTTGTTTTTGATAGTTTTTCTTTTGATAACATTTTGAATCCTTTGATTGATTTGATCAAGGATGAGATGCTATCAATTTAGCTTGTATCTAGGTTTGTTGCTTTCCTTTCTCTTTTAATACAATTACTCTTGCACTGTTAAAAAAAAAAAAGAATGTCCTTAATGCATTTGATTGACTAAGAAAATTTCCATCATCCTTCTGCCTAATACTAAATCTTAAAAAGTACTTTAGTTCTCCCATCATACTCATCTCAAACTCCTTACTCATTATTCTAAAAAATTTATCACATATCTTTTTTCAAAAGATCATCATAAATATAGATATGAATAATGAGTAATTCTTCTCCTACCTTTTTGAGAAATAGGGTGGTGTCATCGCTCCCCTTAACAAAGGTTTTATACAGTAGGAATGTGCTTAGCCTTTCATATAATGCTCTAGGTGCTTATTTCATCCCATATAATTCTTTTTAATTTGAACACATGATTGAGAATTTGTGAATTTTTAAAGCCTGGGGGATATTTAACATACACATCTTCTTTTATTACTATATTATGAAAGTCACTTTTAGCATCCATTTGGTATAATTTGAATCCCTTGAAGTAGACAAAAGCTAGTAGCATCGTCATTGCTTCTAGTCTAGCTATAGGGGGAAATTATTCTTCAAAGTCAATAACTTATTTTAGATTATACCCCTTAACCACTAGTCTTGCTTTATTTCAAACAACTACACCATAGTCATTAATTTTATTTTTGTAAACCCATATTTTTCCAACAATACTCTAGTCCTTAGGTCTTTAAACTAGCTCCCAAACATCATTTCATGTAAAATGATTCAGTTCTTCTTGCAAGGTTAGGATCTATAATTTATCAGATAGTGCTTAATTTATAGTTGTAGGTTCAATTATTGAGATAAAGGTAGAGTGGTTAACTTTTTTTCTAAGTCCATGCTTAGTTTTACTACCTTCAAATGGGTCTACTAAGATTAGTACTTTAGGATGACTTGAAAAATATCTCCTTTCTTTAGGCAAAAAGTTTTTAGGTTATACCCTTTCTTCCAGATTTGTAGATTCTACTCCTTGGATAACCTCAACCACTTCTTCTTCTTCCACCCTAAACCCTCCATCATTATCAAATTCATAAAAAATTATATGAGTGTTCTCCTCTACCACCAGTGTCCTTTTATTAAAAACTTAATAGGATTTTCCCACATTTGAGTATCCTAAAAAGACTCCTTCATTAGACTTGGGGTCAAACTTTCATAGCATAGATTTACCATTATTTAGAATGAACACTTTACATCCAAAGACATGAAGGTTAGAGAGGTAAGGTGTCCTAAACTTAAGAATTTTGTAGGGTATCTTATTTAGCTTGAATCTAATATTAACCATATTTAAAACATAATAGACTGTGTTTACTGCTTATGCCTAAAAGTATTTAGAAAGTGAGTATTCAACTAACATGGTTCTAGCTACTTCTACTAAGGTCTTATTCTTTCTTTTAGCTACCTCATTCTGTTGATAAGTTTTAGGCGGTGAAAAGTTATGATCTATCCCTTACTCCTTACAATAAGATTCAAAATTTTTATTTTTCAAATTTTCCACCATGGTTACTATGAATGGTCATAATTTCACACCCTAGCTTCCTCTAAATCAAAGTGATTCACTTTTTTGAGATAAGAATCTAACCCAAGTAAACCATGAGTAATTATTAATAATCATATACTTTAAAACTTTTCCTCCTAGACTTATAGTGATAACGTGTCTAAAAAGATCCATATGAAGGACTTTTAAAGGTTTGCTAGTAATAATGTCCTTGATTGAATAAATGGAGGATTTTACTTATTTTCCTAATTGA